TTTTTTATTTAATGCTTTTAGTTTATTCATTTTTTTGTGTTTAAAAAATTAAAAAAATTATCAAAAAGTTTACGGTGGTCTTAATTTTTCGGGTGACTTTACTCTTGCGTCCGATTTACCGAAAAGTAACCAATTTTGTTTTACATAAGAAAACTTCTTATTATTATCTTTCATTTCAAAACTAAAATTTAAAATTTCTTGCTTCGAATACAAATACATTTATTTGAAGTTCATAAGACATTCTGGTAGAAGAGAAGATAATAAAAAACAGTTTTTTTTTTTTTTAATATTACTAATTTTAAATGCTTCTAGGTGTGTATGAGCCCTGTTTCGGAAAATTTGGTAACTATGCAAGTGGTAAACTTTCGCAATCGCTTTTTTATTTTATCATGAAACATGAAAACATACAAAATGCCTATTGTATCCCCCCTCAAAATCATTTTCCATATATCTCGAAAAACTTACATTTTCTTCAAAAATTTCCAAAAATTGACCTCTCACAATCAATATTTTGAATTTATGGAGCGAGTATGGCTTATTGCTATCTCAGGCAAAAGCTTTTCCTAAAAATTCTCAAAAATGGTAACGAAAATCTCCTTATAAAAACTTTACTTTTTCTGCAAAAATTTAGATACATTTCCTCACAAATTGACATTTCAAAACGGAAATCAATATTTTGAATTGAAGGCGCGAATATGGCTTATTGCTATCTCACAACGAAAGGTTTTCTTATCTATTCATTAATAGGGTTACAAGAATCTCCTTCCGAAAATTTTACTTTTTCTACAAATATTTAGATACATGTTCCACGCATTGACCTCTCATAACAGAAATCAAAATTATGAATTTATGGCGCGAATATTGCCTAGTGCTGTCTCACACAAAACTTCACAAAAAGGATTGTTAAAATCAGTTCCTGAAACTTTTGCTTTTCCAACACAAATATAAATACACGTTCGACAAATCGACATTCAATAAGAGAAATCAATTTTTTGAATTTATGGCGTGAATATGGCTCATTGCTATCTCACATAAATCTTTCCCATATACTCACTAAAGAGGTCACATAAATCCCCTCCCATAAACTTTTTTAACATAAATTTATATAGATTTTTTTTTCAAATCGACTTAATGACCTTCATTGAATTTACGATGTGAATCTCCAAAGTATGTAGCGAAAGAAGAAGAAGAAAAAAAAAAACTCTATCTAGTTGTGAAAATAGTAGAAAAAAAATTTGTTTGACTTTTCGTGAAATGAGTCATTGTATTTGAGAATCCCCCAGCAAATGTGCGGCCGGAACCAACATTTTGGGAGATGGGATTCGATTTCCACTTTTCAATTAGCGCCATTTCCTTTTCTTCTGAGTTGACGGTTTCAGATGAGCAGTCAACATTAAACTGTTGCGTTAACGCCAGAGTTAATGTGTTTGCGCTTTCTGCAGAACCGGCGACAAGTTTTCAATAGTCTTTCCATTACGATTAAAATATCCTACATTAGAGCATAGCTGCCAACATTTGCCCTTTTCGAGGTAGTTCTTTTTTCCTAGATAAAAATTGATTTGGTAACTATAAACAAATATCTGTTTAAATTTTGCCAGTCCCGGTACTCACAGGTGATAATGGGCGAGCAATATAGTTTCATAAAATTTTCTGAGTTCCTAGTTCTTTTCTAAAATTTTTAAAACACGAGGAAAATTCCTTGATTTAACAAATACATTTAAGAATAAATAATTTTCATCATATATGTCGAATTTCTATTTAGGTTATCGAGTAAGTCTGGTGATCAGGAATACATTGTAATATATTCAAGGGGGCGAAATTCTCCGCTTTCTGCAAAAGTTGTTAAAAAGTGGTGGAGTATAAAAAAATTTATGACTTTCAGAAATATTGTTATTCCTGCTAACGTTTAGAAAAGTTCACTACGAGAATTTTTCACCTATTTATTCTTAATGGTGGACAAAATGACTTAAGAGTCAAATTTTCTAAACGAAGAACCTTACATTAAAATATATATTTTGTAACCACTCGAAAAAAAGTTTTTTTTTTCGTTGTAGCAAACGGAACAAGTTGGTATCTCTGTATATTTTTGAAAACAAATAACACATTTTATGAAATAAATTTTGCTAACTCTTTAATTACTTTGGCAGACCTTTGAAAGCAATGTATTTTGTATATAATAATCTTTAATCTGGGGAAAATAAAAAATAAATACCAAGAAGAATGATATAATCAAGTTTTTATCTTTCTTAAAGGAGAATATAATTATAAATATATATTCATAGGAACATATTCATTATCTATATTATGAACACACTAATTTTAATAATAGCTAAGAAATAGAATTTGCTGACATAATTGCCACATGGTGGAAAGAGTTTTATTTTAATGCACAGAATACAGAAGTTCTAGCTCCCAGCAATGCTTAAAAACAACAATTAACGTAATCTTAATTTGTTTAATTTTGCCAGTACATAAAAACTTCATTCAGCGATTATCAGTTCATATATATTTGTTTTAACTGTTTTTGTATAGTAGCTGATAATATCAATTTAAATCAAATTTAATCAATCAAAATTAAAATAGTAAGCACACAATTTATTGCAACTTTAAAGTTTTTCAAAAGAATCTCCGGTTTAAATACGAGACGTCTATTTTCGTATAGCTATCGATAAAAATAAGTTAAACAAGAAATAAAAAGAAAAATTATTATATAAACAATAAATATTTATTATTCTTAAAATTTAGCTCTGTTAGTCTTTATTTCTAACCAACTTTCATATTAAAACCCTTTTTTTTGTCTTTTTTTTTTTGTTGTTGATATGCTCACAATAGTGATACTGCTTTTAATTTTAACAAGACTTTTATTTCCTAAACTGGGATTGGTTAAAACAGATGAGCTGGAGCAATTGTATTTCTTAATGTAAAATTCTTATTAATTTTGAATAATTCCGACTTTTTCATGTTTTAAATTAAAAGTTAGCAAAATATTTAAGAAAGCTGAATATAAACTGTTCAAAATCAAGTTATTTATACTTTTATTGAAAGAGAAAATATTGTTAACAAAGCTAATTTCTTTTTTATTCGTAGATGCTAAATGGTATATTGGTATTTAACTCGTCAATACAGTTTCTTTTTACACATAAAATTCTAATGTTAGTAAATACTATTATTAATTTTAATTGTTAAATGCAAGGTTTTTAAATTTAAAGGGTAAAAAATATTGCAATTTAAAAATTAACCGATTCTCTTCATAAGTTTCAAAAATATTTCGAAATACATAAAAAAAAGAAACTAACAATAAGGAACAAACTTTCAACCGCCCGCGTGACATTGAGTTATTCGGACCATATTTTTTTGATATTGGTTACCTTCCATATTTTGAGGATCCAGAATCAGGGTTCGTATGGCTCAAAAATTAGAAAATAAAATGCCTTTTTATAAATTCGTGTCCACCGTTACGCTTAATTTTTCCAATTAAATCCCGTAACAAAATCAGTTTTTGTATTTTTAATATTGAATTGGAAGCTGATAAAAACTTTTAAACTTCTTTTTATTAAAATAATATCGCTTTTTAATTTTATAAGGATAGTTCAAGCCCTGTCCAGAATTCAAATCCATCAAAAAAGAGGTATGTTTATTCATAGAAAGTATGTTTTTAAGTCTTCCTTGAAAACTTAAAATATCATCAGCACAAATTAGCATATTTAATGCTAAATCTTCAAACCATTAAGATCCAGTGCCAGTACGTAAAAATCCGATCATTAAATCAGAAGTTATTTAGGCATTTTCCCCTCTTTCTTACTCTCTGTACGGTAAATAATGATTAGGGGAAATCTCAATCAATGCAGGGAAGAAAACGTCACAGCTGTTTTGAGCGTTCAACTTAATGTAAAAAAATTTTTTTTTTGCTCAGCATAAACTATAAGACTTAAAAACCTTAAATTAAGTAGACGTGTAGAAAAATGCATAGGGAGTAGAATGGAATAAAAAATTCAACATTCGATTATAAATTCGAGGATTATTAACAATTGTTAAACTTGCAGTAAAAAAATGCAAAACGAGGAGTTCTACAAGCTACAGAAATGCAACTACAAAAGTGAAATTTAGAGTTCTGAAAGGGCCATCTTTATTTACGAACTTAACAACTTAATACGGGTTTTTATTTTTCGTAATTCCATGGAAAGTTACTGCAATTTTAAGAGCTTTTTTCCCCCTTAACGCAACTTTTTTCACTCATAAACTACAAGACGTAGAAACTTAAAATTAAGAAGGCTTTTAAAAAAATGTATAAGGAGTATGATGGAATAAAGAAAATTAACACTCAATAGTTAGTTTGATAATTTTTAACTAGTAGTAAAAAATATCACGTAGGCCACTCTGCAGTCCACAGAAAAGCAATTACAGAGTTGCTATTCGACCTGCTGCAAAGGCCAATTTCCTTTATGAACTTAAGACATCGTTTGAAAGTTATAGCAATTTTTTTTCACTTTAAATAATGACTATCCAATGCTGTAAAAAAATATCAAGGTTATGTGATTGAATAATGATAGAAACAAATCCCTATTTGGATTTGCTTTTCAACAGTGATAATAAAATAAAATCTGTTTAATATGAATCCCTTCAAGTAATGATTCTTCATATTAACTCAAGAAAAGTAGTATAGTTGAAAATTGGAATTTAAACTCTTTAAATTCCTTAGAAATTAGGTAAAAGACATTTTTTTTTCGATAATCAAAAACCTTTTACAAAATCAAAAAAAGCATTTGGCTATAAGTTAATGTTTCTTTTCTTTCCTTTTTTTGTGTGAAAAGAACAGCAAAAGTGTAAGAAATTCAGGTACTTTCTTGATATAAAGGTTAAACTGAAATAATATATATGTATAAACGCAACATTCTCTGTATGTTGCATGCTTATAAAGCACAACTAAGTATGTAACATCAAATTTCTCAACTTAAAATTTCAATTTCGTGTAAAAACTGAAGAAATAAAAGTCAAAGTAGTCTACATAATTTAAAATTTTTATTTACACAAAAGTTTCTTAACACTATATTAGGAAGTCACAATATTACATCTTTAATTATTGAAAAAAAAATAGTACTTTTCCAATATTTCGTTTTGTTAAAAAGTCTATGGTTAAAATCTGTAATTAGATCTGTTTATTTATTTTGCAATTTGTTAAGTCTAAGTCATCCAATAAAGCATCTATGCTTGGATCTCGGCCTCTAAATTTTCTAAATACTTCTCCAGGATGGCAAGCACCTCCAAGAGATAAATACGTGTCTCGGAATCTAAAAGTAAAAAGCAATGATTACATCAACATCATTGACATCAAAACATCAACATCACTGAATAAACTATTGGGTTCTTCGGAAAGTAATTTCGTTCTTTTTTTCCCTAACAGAGTACTTAATTATATTTTTTCACAGCTTAAGTCACACTAAAGCAGCGTAATCATTACATATTTCAACAGTTGATAAAGCAAGGCTTGCTTGTAAAAAACCTTGATAAAATCAATGCAGTAGTTTTCGTTGGTGCCCGTTCAGACATGGAAAGAGATATGCAGAAATTTTGGCATGTATTTTTTTGGAAATGTAAAAATGCAATTTAAGAAACAAAAAAAATATTATCTGATGGGTATGAAGAAGATGTATTTGCAGCTGCCAGTGCCAAAACTTGTTTGCAAAACTTCGCTTAAGATACAACAAAGAAGTAGAATGCCAGTTTAAGCTGATGAAGATACGATAAAGGCATTAATTGATGCATAACAACTTCTGAGATACTTGAAACATAATATTTATAGTAATCAACTGTTCATGATCATTTAAAAAGCCTAAGGTTGAATCTCAATATTAGGGTTAATCATGTTCTTATGGAAAAATATGTGTGCCATCACTTTGAGATCTGTGATTTGCCTCTCAAACGTCAAGAAAATTATCCATTTTTGAAGCGCAGCATCACTGGGGGCGAGAAATGGGTTGTCTACAACGATATTCTGATCTCTATAAAAATTTTTAGATGGTAAAACTTTTACTTCAAATCAGGAGTGATTGTCGCATAGAGTGAGAAAACCCAATCATTGTATTAAAAAAATCGATATCAAGATAATACTTTATATATCATACAAGTTTCATATCTAACGTAATTTTTTTTACTAACATTTATAATTAAATTATTTACTAATGAAGAATATCACACTTTTATAGTAACTAATTCAAGAAAACACTTACTTCTTACAAGAATCGTGATGTTGCAGTTTAAAATCGCGATATTCGATTTTTAAATCAGATGAATATAAATTGAGATATTGGACTTCAAAAACGCGAAAATACAAATTGCGATAATAAATTTTTTAGATGGCGTAAATATGAATCACGATGGATAATTTTTAGATCCCGTGAATAAGAATCGCAATGTGAAGTTTTTAAATCACGTACAAATACGAAAATTTATGTTTGATACTGCAATCGCGTGAATACGAATCACAATATTGGATTTTAAAAAAGCGTGAATACAAATCGCGAAATTAAATTTTTAACTAGCGTGAATACCAATCACGATATTGGGTTTTGAAAACGCGTAAATACAAATCGAGCTATTGGATTTTTGAATCACGTGAATAGGAATTGCGATGTACGATTTTTAAATTGAGTGAATACGAATCGAAACACGTAACTTTTTTAATCAGGTAAATACAAAAATTGATATTTGATATTAAAATCACGTGAATAAGAATCGCGACATAAGCAGATTGCGGTGCAGTTCTAAATATTCAAAATGACGAAAATTCGTCAAACCGAAAGAATCCAACTGGCAGATGAATCACGTGTATGTAAACGTCTCGTTAACAGGATATAGCAAAAGTTTCAAAATTTTGTCGAATTATAAGTTTTTGATTCGTGGAAGTCCGCAAGCCAATTCTCTGGAGATACGGTTAACGAAAAAATTCCATGACCAGCTTATAGTTTTTAGATCCGGAGAATTGAAACGAAAAACCCGGAAATATGACGTATACAATCAAATCTGTCAAATTAGGAGGTCAAAAATGGAATGGATCAGTTTTTTGCCACGAAAAAATAAAAAATTTGCGCATGTGGAATCATGCTACCACCAGAAGTTATTGGGCCAGAACAGACAATATACGATTCAATGAAATATTTATTCACACTAAGAAAATAGTCTTTAATTTTCATAAGAAAGAACGAAATTATTTTGTGAGAACCCAAATAAAACAAAATTAACTATCCTTACTAAATTATTTGAAAAATTTAGGGAAAAAAACTGCTGCAAATTATTTTCAAAAATTAGTCATTTGCTTACCTTTTGCCTATTTGCTTCATATTTTCAGGATTTTCAAGTCCAGCTTCTTCAAATGCATTGAACAGATCAGCAGCAATCATCTGAAAGTAATCCAGGACAGATATGTAATAACGATATGATTGAAATGAACAGCAAAGGAATAATGCCATTTTCTGTTCATTTATTCACTTTGACTTTCTTGTATCAAAGCAAAATATGTTACATTTTAACACTAAAACGACCGAACATTTGTGTTATACGTAGAAAGACAGAAGGAACCACATTTGGCTCTTTCCAGACAGCCAAAATCTTAAAATATAAAAATTAATTTAATGGAATTATATTGCAGAATTGATCATCACAATTCTATGGTATTTAATTTCATTTCAATTACTGTTGTTATAGTTCATTTACGTCGCACTAGAGCTGCACAATGGGCTATTGGCGAAGTTCTGGGAAACACCCCTGAAGATGATCCGAAGACATGCCATCACAATTTTGATCTTCTGCAGAGGGAATGCCAACCCGACTTCGATAACCTGATGACTTGCACGCAAAATCGAGCACTTTACAATAGAACAGTTTAACGAGGACCAATACCGCACACCCTCGGTCCCTACGCAAACTAATCCAAGTGGTCCCCCACCCGCACACTGACCACAGCCAGCGATGCTTGACTTTGGTGATCTGCGGGGTACCGTGTCTTAATGATCAGTCCACTGCAGGACAATTTCAAATGAAAATATTTGATTAAATGGAACACTGGCATTTCAATTATAGGTATACATTATATTTTATATAATTAAATTTCCTCTTAATAACAATAAACAATGTTAGAATACTCTTGCTTGTTTTTTTTTAATGAAACGGGGGTACCTTATATATACCAAAGAGTAGCTAATACTCTGAACTAACTAAGGTTATGGGATATCTACCAAACTGTGTAAGCCACTCTGGCCTCTCCTGTCATTCTTGATCAAATCTCTATATATAAGGCTAACGATATACATAGAACTATAACTATATATAGAATTATAAATATAGATATATATATAAGCTTCTATAAGGGTAATGCATGAATGATTAAATAAGCACTTAAATTGGATAAAATTATGAAAAGTCAGAAATATTTAGCGTTTTTATTTTTTAAATTACAGAACAATAAAAAGTGAGAAGAGCCACATTTGTTTTTCTAGAATATGATTTATATAATGGTCTTTTTTTACTTTTTTTTTTATAAACAGAAGCTACAAAATTGTTCTGCAAAAGTTAGCAAGTTATTTTTATGCTGATTAATAAATAATTGTTTAATAGCTTTTTATAATTATTGAAAATAGTATATTTTTTAAAAAAAATTTGCATGAAGAAATTTTTAAGAGAAATAAATTCAATTTTTAATTATAACACAGTATCTACACATTCATATCAAATAAGGAAATATTAAATAATACACACTTTCGCCCATAAGTTGGAGAAATATGCAGCAGGATATTGTTCACTAAATATTTCTGGGAAAGAGCAAGGTTTAGCTGGTTTGATATCTTTCGGATAGTCTAAAGGCATATACTTTTTCCAAACTTCTTTCGTAATTTCCAGCCAAAAATCATTTCTGAATAAAAATCAATAGCGGCATGAATACAAACTAAATAAATAAACACAAATCAAATATACTAATAATACAAGCATATTTAGGTTACTACAGGTGCAAAATGTTCACTTGCCAGCTCACCATTAAGGCTGTTAATAAAGAGTTTCAAATTAAACTACTACATTTTTGTGTTGTGAGTTTTCAGTGGACAAATATTAAAAATGGAGAGGAGGTGTCTCGGGATAGAACACTCGCCTCCCAATGATGTGACATGGGTTCGAATCCCTGGTTTATATCAATTCCCGACCTGGCTCACATCAACCACAGTGCTGACGTAAAATATCCTCAATGGTAGACAGATCATGGATCAGAAACCCCTTTCCATGAGGCTAACAGTGAGAGGTTTTCGTGCTTTTCCTCTCTATGTAACACAAATGTGGATTGGTTTCATCAAAAAGTCCTCCACAAAGGCAAATTTCTCTTAATACTTGATCCAGAAGTTCCCTTGTCTTTTGAATTGGTATCAAAATTACAAGGCTACAGAGTTGGTAGCAATAAACTTAAAATTGGGTCAGCTTTTTAATGATGGTTCTAAAATAAAATATTAAAAATGGGGAGCAATAGTTTTAGCGTTTAAGAGGGAGATTAGTCAAACACGTGCAAAATATTCATCACAAAAAGACTACAATTTATGTAAACAGATGTGTTAACATCTCTGCATGTTTTTGACATCTTAAGTTGACCCTCTAAAGAAGAAATTTTTAAATTTGGGATAAAGGAGAAAAAGAAACCAATATTTTTGTGCTTTATTCTACCAGTAATCACAGCTTTGTGTGAGAGAGGCTTCAGCTGTCGCAATAGTCAAGTCAAGACAGCTAACGGAAACTCTTTGAAGATTAGGGTAATAGATAATTTAATTAGAATTTCTACAAATTGACCTCTTCCCTAACAGAGTTTGAAATCACTCCAGGATTTGATAGATAGTAATTAAGTATCGAAAGGCAGGGTTATAAAAATAGTAAACGTTGAAAACACACAAACATTTATAATGTCTTCATTTTTTTTTTAATTTAATTTTAGGGATTTTAAATGATATATGAATAATAGGGAAACCATTCTAATTTTTTTAAAACTTATATCAGTATTTTTTTAGCAGTAAGCATTTTTCATTTTTTATTTTTTTACATTATTTTATGGTTTTGGTCACCAAAAGTTCTTTAAACAACATATATGCGACATCGTGTGAATCATTTTAAAATTACCTGCTATAGAGTTCCAAATCAAGAGCAGAGAGGAACAGCTCGTCAGTTAGCTGCAAACCACTCATATAGTTTTCCCCTGAAAATAAAACAAAATCACAGTTCAAAATGGCAATTTTAAAGAAAAAAGAAATTAAAGATATATTATGTAAATATATCACATGATGATAATGCAAATATGATAATCACATATGATAAAGCAAATAATACACGGAATAAATATTATTATTTGTTAATAATATTAAAAAATAACTCTTCTCTCAAAAAATGTTTCTCTTCAGTGTATATTTTTTGTATGATGAAGTTATAAGTTACAGAAAGATAATTGCAAATCAAATTCTTTTTTTTTTTTTTTTTTAAATTCAATCAAAAAAATATTTAAAATTTTAAATACATCATACTTATACTTCAGGTTTACATATATAACACTCAAGAAATAATAATAAGTATTAAATTAAATGGGTTATGCCATAATATGACACATTGTTTCTTTAAAAAATTTTAATANATTATTTTTTTTTTTTTTTTTAAATTCAATCAAAAAAATATTTAAAATTTTAAATACATCATAATTATACTTCAGGTTTACATACATAACACTCAAGAAATAATAAGAAGTATTAAATTAAATGGGTTATGCCATAATATGACACATTGTTTCTTTAAAAAATTTTAATAAATTTTGATTTTCATCTGAAACATTCAGAGACATAATTCGCTTAGATATGTTTTAAAGAAATTTGGGCATTATGGGAATTATCCGATAATTTGCAAAATATTGTTCAAAATTCTAGTTTCATTTCAAACAGGTAATATTTACAATTGCTTTAGCAAACAGTTTATGAATATCACAAATTATTCTGTATACATAATTCAATAGATAGATATTTTTCTTTATCATTAGTAAAAATACTGGCTGTTAAAAATATAAGAACTATGTACACTACTGGCAATTAAAATTGCTACACCAGGAAGGAATCAGAATGATATTTATTGGGACATACATTATAGTTGGAAGAACAAGTGATTAAATTTTCATGATATTTGGATGTATCATGCCTGAGGAATCAATATTCAGACCAGCCTCCCCTGGCAGCAATAACAGCAGTTGATCTCCTGGGCATCGAGTTGAACAGAGATTGGATTGCATGGACAGGTGCAGCATTCCATGCAGCTTCAACATTATGCCACCTTTATCATCGACCGTAGTGATGAGTGGTGGCGTGCCAGTCGTTCGGCAACCATTGATCAGACGTTTTTAACATGCTGGCCAGGGCAACAGGCAAACATGTTCAGTGTCAAGGAAGGTCAGGACAGTGTGGTCGTGCATTGTCCTGCAGAAACGTAGCATTATGGAGGCCTCAAAGATAAGGCAGAGCAGCTGGCCCTAACACATCAGAAATGTAACGGCTGCTGTTTAAAGTGCCGGCAATGCGAACAAGAGGTGGTCGTATCCAATGACCCTATACCATTACTCCAGGTGATGGGCCAGTATGACGATACCGAATGCAAGCTGCCAATGGGCGTTCTCCACAATGTCACCAAACATGGATGTGGCCATCATGATGCTGTATACAGAACCTGGATTTGTCTGAAAATATGAAATCATGCCATTGGAGGTGTTCCTGCGTGTGATAAAGGATCAAGGGTAGTCGAAGCCATGGTCTCCGTGCGGACAGTCTATGTTGCTGTAAAAGTCGTCAAACTGTTCATGCAGACACTCGTTGTCTTGCAAATGACCCCATTTGTTGACTTTGTGGACTTATTTCTCCTTCTTAAACGAGGCATAACAAAAAAAAAAAATTCCCAAGAACAACGCTCAACTTCGATTCCTGTATAGGAAACTTACTGTCAAATCTCTTCTTTTATACACATTGTAGGTGTCGCCACCACTGCCTGCTTTGCATGAATGCTCTGATAGGCTAATCATTTGCATACCACAACATGCTTTATCCGTCCTGCTAATTTCACAGTCGTGGTGTGTCGCCTTCCTGGTGTAGCAATTTTAATGGCCAGTAGAGTACAGTGAAAAATATAGAATGAAATATATATACAGAAGAACCGCAACCGATCATTATTTTCCACTGGTGGAAACGGGAAAACAACGACTATGGGTGAACATTATCTAATACTGACTTTAAAAAGTATGAAAAGTAATAAACTTATAAAAATAACAAAGAAGTAATAAATTCATAAAAATAATAAAGTAATAAATTTATTAAAATAATTAAGAACTAATAAATTTATAAAAATAATAAAGAAGTAATGAATTTAAAATAAATGTAAATATTTTTAATTGAAAAAAAATATGCTCTTACTGCAAAAATTTTTACAATGCCAAAAAAAGATGAACACAATTTTTTTAAAACATTTAAAAATTTTAGTTTGAACACATTCTTTTCATTTCAGCGCAAACAACAAATTTTCCACAGTTGTAACAGATCGCTATTGATTTACTTAAGTTCATGTGAATACAATAAGTTCCTCGTTATTTCAAAGGCTTTAAGGTTTCTGCACTGGTTGCGATTCTGTCATCATGGGTTACATTTTCACTTCAGTTTCTGCAACCATTTTTTCAATCAACATCACAAGTTTTACAATTTATGTAAACTGATGGAAAATTATTAAGTGTGGTGTTTAAGGAATTTAACCCAAACTTTAACAAATCATCATTTTCTTATTCATTAAAAAATAGTTTTTCTTTCTCAGAACAAAATAACTTCAATTTTTCTCAAATGTTGGTAAAATTTCTGAGCCAGAGACATGGGAAGCTTTTAGCTTCAAAAATGATCTAAACAAGGATTATAACATCATAAAAAAGAACGTTTGTGATAGAACCAATGAAAATAGACAATAAATACAGGAAAACAAAAGATGGGGGAACAATGGATCAAAGTTCAACTTTGTATATATATATATATATATATATATATATATGTATATATATATA